ATGCTGGTTTGGAGGGACCAGCCTCTGTGAATACGTCCATAGAGATTCTGAGCTCCACTGAATAAAGCCATCACTGCTTGGAAGGTGTCCAAGCAGGGCTCAGCATCTTATGCTCTATATATTTTAAGGCATTATTTTAAGTGATAGCAGATAAATGAGGTATTTTTGAAGAAACAAAAGGTAGGAATCCTCAGGCTGAATGACTATGGAAAGGAGAGCCAACAGATTACATTTGGGGGAAGTGAGGAAGGGGTTAATGTTGAAAATGGAGGGGTTCAGGTGGGTTTAATAACCCTAGAGAGCCTGTTTAGAAATATTAGGGGAGTACACAGGGTGTAGCATAGCGAGCATGACCTAAAGGAGTTCTCTTTTGAAGGTACAGTGTCCCAGCTTTGAGGCAGCCCTTATCAAATGTTTCCCACTTCACCTTGAATTTGCTGAAGAGGCTAGTTTGTGAGAACATTGGTCCCAACTGTCTTGCCTTGGTATATTGTGTGTATTCTCCATTCTGTCCCTCTAAACAGAGGGTCCCAAAATGAGGAGGATGCCACTGAGTTCATTAGCATCTGGCCATACCATAGTGAGTGTCAGTTTTTCTGTGAAGCAAAGGAGTGAAAAATGGGGACATTCAGTGTAGGTAATATTAACAAAATCCAAATTAGCTAGCATAGGCAAGGTGTGAACGGGAACTAAAGAAAAAAATAAAAAGCACATAGCTATTAGTTATATATATATTAAAAATAGATCTGAAGCAAGAAGGTCATATATAAGCCTGTGAGTAAGACCATGCAAACTGCCTGGAGCGAAGGAGGCAATTAAAAAGACAATGTAGCTGTGGTGAAGTTAAATGGTTTGTTGAATCAGTCTTCTCTAGTATGGATGATGAGGGAAAAAATTCCCCAGTGAACAACTTCTAGGTAATCAAGGCATAGCAATGGCAGAGAGAAAGATGTCTCTAAGGAAGAGGGTTGGAACAACTAAAGAAACTTAATAGCATCAAATCGTTAGGGCTTGATGTTGTTGTTAAAGGAAGTACAAAATATAATAATTATAAGATAGCAGAGCTACTAACAAGTATGTAATCTACCTTAACAGAACAGGAGAGGTGCCTGAGGATCAGAGAATTGCTACTGTGGTTCCTATCTTTAAAAAGAGAGTAAAACCCACCCTGGGAGTTATAGAGTGGGGAGGCTCACTTCTGTAGGGAGCAAATTAGTTGACAGTAAAGTCATTAAAGACACATTAATAAACTGCTTGGATGAATCTACACTAAAAAGCACAGGATTTACCATCCTCAATCAGACCATCTAGCTTGGTGTCCTGCCTTTGACAGTGATCTCAATCTTCCAAAGGAAAATCAATCCCTTACATAATATATCTAGCCAACTATGAATGTGAAGGAAGGGGAAATTACTTTCTGCCCTCTGCAGGTGATCCATGCATACCCTAGAAAAGGAGATTATGTCTCCTTTTAATGATCTTTCCTGGAATAGGTACAAATATCATTAGTATTCATGAAATTATCCAGCCCATCTTACAGCAACTGCCAATTATTCAACTCTAGACATGCTGTCGTACTGAATCCCACCAGGATGACTATGTACTTCAAAAAGTTGTAGCTTCTCATTGTTCTAAATTGGCTGGTTCAGTAGCTGATCCTCCTGCTGTTTCTGAGGGAAGGAAAACCAACTATCTGCTCCTCTCCCTGGCAAAGAGTAATGGATTGTTACTCACAAAAAAAACAGGCCAGCCCACCTATACCCTATATACGCTCAAGGCGTGACCCAATCAATTTAGGCCCCCCACCCTTTCCCTTCCAAGGGCTCAGGGTGTAAGGTGCCTATCCTTACCCATGGGGCTCAGGAAGAAAGTCAATTTAAGTACCTGCCCGTTTCCTCGGGGCTCAGGGCTTTACAGGTTTGCTGGACCTTTTCCCAGTGAGAGAGCCTTACACAGCTGTGCTCTAAACATCTATTTATTAGCAACACACATAGAATACATATACCAAGCAAATCTCTTATGCTCACCACTCTCAATATACAGACAAAATTCACCTGATGGCCAGTCAGGATCCTCTTGTCTGGGGTTCCGGCGATGCCTCTGCACATCACGGTAGTGCAGAGGGGTCAGAGTTCTAGCAGCTTGATGTTAAATTCCAATCTGGAGATGGTTCCCAAAGAGCGTTTTTTTGGGGGGGGGGGCGGGGGGGGAGAGTTTACATCATATAGGCAAAACTAGCTACCTCCTTTAACTTTACTAAACCTATCACATTATTCAGTTCCCCTAGGTAACCAAATTTAACCAATCACATACTGGCATCTATGTTTTCTCCTCCCTGCTCAACTCTTTTTATATTTTATCTCTCATGCCCAAATTGTAACTTATGACCTTCTTTGTATGTGCAGATGGTCAGCTTAAATTCACTGGACAGAGCTTATTGTATCTATTTTACCAATTCTTTCTGTTTCTTCCCTAAACTTTCCAGCACCTGGGTGTCTCTACTTTACAATCCTTAGTGTTATAACTCTTGTTAGGGGCATTCCTGAGGTGGGGGCACCTTAGCAGCAGTGGAGCATTTCTCCCCCTTAATTTTAGTGGAAAAATCATGGAGTTTCACCCAAGGCTGGTTTAGTATGGGGTGAGTTAAGTCTCAGGCCTACAGTATAACAAACTGCAAGTTTCCATGTCTTTGAGTTTCCTGTCCCCTACTAAACAGTACGGCATGTAGGAAATGAGAAGGCACTTTGTTAATGCAAATTAATTATTATTTTCTGTAAAGTCTGTTGCAAAACATTGTGTCATGTAATCTATGCAATAACATGTGGGCAGACATATTCATTAGATCATTTCTGGGAGGAGTAACACTGTAAGACAGATTTTTTTTTTGTAAACAAAGTAAAACATTTCCTCTGACACATACAGGGACTTTTGATTTGCTGTCCAGATAAGTGTAAGATTCCAAGGGCCTCTATTTGCTCTTGCATCAGTATAAATCCAGAGTAATTTCATGGAAGTCAAAGGAGTTACAACGATGTAAGTGAGTTAGTGAGAGGAGAGTCAAGTGCTAAAATTCATCTTGGTTTTAGTGTTAGCATTATCCTAAACTCTGATCTGTGCCTTTTACCTGTTTGTAGAAAACCTCATGTTATTCTGGAGCAAGCCGATAGTGACAGAAACCATACATAGCCATAAAACTGGTATTACCCAGTAGACAGTTTAAGAAATAAGGTTCCCATTATCTCATTCTTGCTTGTCACTAGCAAAATCTGGACTATGTGTAAGTAAATATCCTAAAAGGCGCTGGAATGAAAGACAAAGCCTTTGTGTGTGCCTTTAAACCACCATTCCTGGAGCACCTTCCACTTCCACTCCTGCTAGATTAGAGAGTTTTTTAGTGCATTCTGGTATTGTTTGCAGCAAAATCCAGAGGTAAATCAAATTCTGCATGTAAAGATTCCATAGTCATTTGCTTGTGCCTGAAACTGCTCATGGGACAGATTCAGTTCATGGTTTGTTGGGCAGAAAAACTGTAAGGACGCTATTATCTACATACAACTATGTGGTATTAAAACAGTTTTTTAGATAAATTTAGATGAAATGCAAAGAGAAACTTCTGAGTGCTGATGAAGAAACAGGGCTTTAGAAGGTCATCACCACTATAATGTTTTTCTTTTTAGCCACTGTTTATAGCACTCTCATCTCAGACTACATTTTCCCCTCGCCAGTTTTGTCCTTTTTTATTTACCAAACACTGATTTCCCCCCTCCCATATTCTGTGTTTTGAATGAAGCTAAAACATGGTTGTATTTGCATACCAGTAACCTCAGTTTATCTAGCACTTCGTGATTGGGGCAAATCTGACATGCTCAGAATTGCACTTAACCAGCTCACTCTTCACCCTGCCCCTTTCCTTACCATGGCAGTGTAGAGGGATTATGCCTCAGGCAGTCTTACTTAGCCTTACTCACACTTTTGTCTGGAACACAAGTCTTTTTCTGCCTTATTGTGCCCTTTGTAATGATCAAGCCAAAATACAATTTAATGGGCCTGTCAACAGTGGCTCTGTTGAATAATGAAGAGCTGATGTTTTAAAATAAAGCTATTTGGGAATCATAAAATTGTTTCATTTAATTTAATTTACAGGATGGATGAGAAGTTTTAGGTTTCTTTTCATTTCTAGTCATATTTCAGGGTTAAGTGTCAAACTAGTGTGTATGTAAACAGGGGAAATGGCATCGCTTGCAATTAAACATTAAGGAAGTGTCAATTTTGGAATGTACTAAATGTTGTTTTTACAAAATCTCTCCAGCCACCACAGTTGGTGATGAAGGTTATTTCTGAGATTATATGGGAGATCCTCATCTACTATGTGTTGGCCTTTCATATTGCTCATTATGAGTGATTTTAGTGCTGTTGGCAAGGATCTTACGAGATTAATTTGTCAAGAGCGTCTGAGGTGGAATTTCCATTTAAGGAAGGAAGTTGTCTGAATCACATTTTGCTAAATCTATCCCATATTTGCATGTTTTTATTTTAAGGCACAGCTCTGAGCAGGGGATATTCTGTGCATCATCCTGGCCCAGAAGAAGCTCCAGGAGGCCACTGTGCTTTAGTAAGTTCCTGGGAAACACAGCAGCTGTGCCATCCCTTAAGGAGTGCACGGGGGTATGTGGCATAGCAGGGCAACCTTCCTACCCTTTGTGGGGTGGCCTGCACCTCCAGGACTGCTAGCAGGAGAACAAGGAAAATCTATAGGATTAGGAAAGCCTCTCCAAGAAATTCCAAGTCTTTGTCTTTTTTTCTTATTTCCAATCATTTACATAACCAGAAAAAAAGAGAAATATGGCAGTAAACACAAAGGCATTGGTAGCAGATTTCTAGAATACAGGTGAGAATCCCCTTTCCACTGCTGTTTCTTAGCAACAGTTACAACAACAAAAAAGCCAAGACTCTTTCCAATACTATGATGTTGCTATATTTCAAATACTTTTGTCTTACAGAGAGGTTGTTACTTTTAACCACTTCCTGGAAGAGGCAGCTGAGAAAGAGGTCCGTGGGAAAGCCAGGCTCCAACACTTCATTGAGAATCTATTGCAGCGGGTTGATCTGGCAGAAAGACAACTAGAATATTATCAAAATCAGCAGATAATGTGCAATTACAATGATGTCAATGAACACATGGTAAGCACACAAAATTGTCATCTCATGCAGGGGTTCTCAAACTGTGGACCAGGACCCCAAAGTAGGTCATAACCTTGTTTTAATGGGGTCACCAGGGCTGGTGTTAGACTTGTGGGGCCTGGGACAAAAGCTCAAGCTTGGGCTGTGGGGCTCAGGCTTTGGCTTCAGCCCTGGGCAGCAGTGGGGCTCATGTTGCAACCCCAGGCATGGGTTGGTGAGGCTTGAGGTTTGCATCCCTCCCCCACACACACCCAGGTGACGGTGCTCAGATGGGCTGAGGCTTCAATCCCGCCTCCTGGGGTTGTGTAGTAATTTTTGTTGTCCGAAGGGGGTCGTGGTGCAATGAAGTTTGAGAACCCCTGATCTAATGAATTATACTGTAGTTCACTGCTCCAGGGAAAGTACCTGAATTTCAATGTGAATAGACTCAACAAGACTGAATCATTTAGAAACCAATCAGATTGTACTTGTAAAATGTCTGTATTTCTGTGAACTTTTGTTTTATTTGTGTTGTTAAGCTGTTGCTCTACATGGGCAACAAACTGTGCATATGCTGCGTGGTAACTGATAATAGGCGCAGGTCAAGCACTTGTGAATGTTATAGAAACCTGAGAAGTCCTGAGTCGCATCTGAATTTTATTTGAAGCTTTAAAATTCTATTTTAATTGTAATGGTAAACAAATTTAAACACAGACCTAAAGTAATGAATTAGATGCGATAATTAAGAGTGGCAGAAGAAAGAGTGCATTTTGTTTTGTAAATCCACAAATGACAGCTAAATAGCTACTGCTGGAAACAAAAGCATTACACACCACTCTAAACATTACTAGTAATGGACAGGCAATGCTCCATGTCCATCATTCCTCGATCTCTAGCCGGGACTGATTACAAAGGTATCATTAGTGATGTGGATACCAGCCACATTTAAATTAATGGGAATTAGGCAACGCCCTTTGAGGATCTGGGCCACAGAAATGTAGTACAGGTTACTGAACAGCCAATAGACGGTAACCCCTACCAATATGGGTTGTATACAAAGCTTTAACCTAGCAGTAGAGTTGAATGAGTAGCTGATATTTTGGTTCAGGAACTGAACTAAAAAATCTCCCCCTCCCAAAAAATTTGAGTTAATTTAAAACCAAAAAACCTGATTTTTTCCAGTTTTTCTTGCCAAAATGAAAAAAAAACAAAATAATAATTTTGGATCAAAAATACTTATGAAACATAACTGAAAAAATGTGGTATTTTGGGGGCATGTCACCCCTTTTGTTTAAAATACAGCTCCATTTTTAAATAAAACATTGTTTCAAAATGTTTCATTTCAAAAAGGTCCAAACTAAACCTTATGACTTTTTAAAAAATATTTTCACATTTTTTGGCTGAAACTATGTGCCAAATTTGATGCACATTTTGCAAATTCAAAAATGTTTCGCTCCCTCCCCCCTCCCCGCCCCCCCCCCAATGTATTTTTGGGCAAATTTACTATTTGCAGAAAAATGTCACTTATCTCTACCTAGCAGTGAAAAACTCACTTATGACTTTGGCTGATGTATCTATAAATGTAGCTGCACTGTACAACTATTTATGCAGAGAATTAAGAATTCCACTATTTTTTTTAAAGATTTCATGCCATCCAGTCATGTGGCTGGGGGAGCAACACATACAGAAGCTCAGTTCATCCCAACCCCATTCCTTCCCTACCACTCAGCCAGACTTCATTATTCCTCACTTTCTCCTTCCCATATTTGGCTACTGCTGTCCTTTTCCTCTCTTCTCTATGATTGCCATCATTTGCTGAAAAGAAAATGCAGGCAATCTTAGAGAAGAGAGGAAAAGGACAGCAGTAGCCAAAGATGGGAAGGAGAAAGTGAGGAATAATGAAACGTCCATCTGCCCTTTTGCTGAAAGGTCTTGCCTTTGGGACAAATAGCCGATATAATTTTTTCCATTAATAACCACTACTATTACTTTGAGTCAGTAATTTCCCTCTAATATACTACATTTGTGTGGCAAGCTTCATCTACAAGAATTCCAAAGGACTTTTGACATTTAAATGGATACAGAGGACAAACTGTACCTAGAATGGACTTCATCCATCATGGAAATGCAGCTACGTTAGGTGAAAAAAGCAACTACTGTTTGTCTGCACACAGTGCTTAAAGGTAGTTTAAGGGCAGAAAGCAAAGGTCACCTTAACTTGAAATAGAAGGATCTTTTGGTAGGTACTGAAATAACATGAGAGTAGAAATTTGGTATGGAAACCAAGCTGATATCTCAGAAAGTGCTGAGAGATCTTTAAAGAAGACTATGGGTAAGAACCTTTGTTTTAAATTGCATCTGAAAGAGTACTTCCAATAGCACAGTACCTTTTAACAGCATACTGATCTATTGTCTCATGGAGGGAGCACTGCCTTCTGAATCAGCTGCACTACCAAACGCTGACCAGCCTGACCTTCCTGAGTTCACCAAGTTACCACAGAAACCAACATGGTGTGACTACAGGCACACTCATCCTAATAGACTCAAAAGACAATGGAAATCAGATCAAAACTCCAACAGAAAAGAGTAAAAAAATACAGGGGTGGGGGAAGGATTTACTGGACCAATAATTATTTTTAAATGCTGAATTTGGGAGACAAATTTATTTCAGGATCAAACTTTCAGCTGTGGACACTAGTTTTTTGTGAGTATATTAGACAATTAGAAATCTAAACACTCACTACAAATGTGCTAATAGTTGTGCAGGAGACAAAATTTATTGTGTAAGTTTACAGGTTGTGTCAACAGTAAATGCCTTCAAAGTCATTTGTCCTCGGGCTTGTCTTCACTACCCGCCTGGATCAGCGGGTAGAAATCGATCTCTTGGGGATCTAATTATCGCGTCTCGTCAGGACGCGACAATCGATCCCCGAATTGACACGCATACTTCACCAGCGCAGGTCGGAGTAAGTGCCGTCGACGGGGGAGCCGCGGGGGTCGATTTGCTGCCGTCCTCACAGCGGGGTAAGTCGGCTCGGATACGTCAAATTCAGCTACTTTATTCGCCTAGCTGAATTTGCGTATCTTAAATCGATCCCTCCCCCCCAGTGTAGACCTAGCCCTCTTGATTCTAAGAGCATTATTTTCTTTTTGAAATGTGTGTTGTCCAAAAGTTGTTACTATCTGATGGCTTTTAGCCATAGCTGGAGTCCTATGTGAAATGATTATTTGGTGTCTTAGTCCCCTTCTCAGTGAACAACAGTGATTAGTGACAGGTTTCAGAGTGGTAGCCATGTTAGTCTGTATCAGTAAAAACAACGAGGAGTCCTTGTGGCACCTTAGAGACTAACAAATTTGGGCATAAGTTTTCATGGGATGTAACCCACTTCATCAGATGAATGGATTGGAAAATACAGTAAGCAGGTATAAATATACAGCACATGAAAAGATAGGAGTTGCCTTACCAAGTGGGGGTTCAGTGCTAACGAGGCCAATTCAATTAGGGTGGATGTGGCCCATTCTCAACAGTTGACAAGAAGGTGTGAATATCAACAGTGAGAAAATTATTTTTTGTAACCCAGCCACTCCCAGTCTTTATTCAGGCTTAATTTGATGGTGTCAAGTTTACAAATTAATTCCAGTTCTGCAGCTTCTTGTTGAAGAATGGCAACTTTTAAGTCTGTTATTGAGTGTTCAGGGAGACTGAAGTGCTCTCCTACTGGATTTTGAATGTTACAATTCTTGATGTCTGATTTGTGTCCATTTATTCTTTTGCATAGAGACTGTCCAGGTTGGCCAATGTACATGGCAGAGGGGCATTGCTGGCACATGATGGCATATATCACATTGGTAGATGTGCAGGTGAACAAGCCCTTCACGGTGTTGCTGATGTAGTTGGGTCCTTTGAATAGATATGCAGACAAAATTGGCAACAGGGTTTGTTGCAGGGGTTGGTGTTTCTGTTGTGTGGTGTGTAGTTGCTGGTGAGTATTTGCTTCATGTTGGGGGGCTGTCTGTAAGCAAGGACTAGCCTGTCTCCCAAGGTCTGTGAGAGTGAGGAATCATCCTTCAGGATAGATTGTAGATCCTTGATGATGCGCTGGAGAGGTTTTAGTTGGGAGCTGTAGGTGACTGATAGTGGCGTTGTTACTTTCTTTGTTGGGTCTGTCCTGTAGAAGGTGACTTCTGGGTACCATTCTGGTTCCGTCAATCTGTTTCTTCACTTCTCCAGGTGGGTATTGTAGTTTTAAGAATGCCTGATAGAGATCCTGTAGGTGTTTGTCTCGGTCTGAGGGACTGGAGCAAATGCGCTTGTATCTGAGGGCTTGGCTGTAGACAATGGATCATGTGATGTGGTCTGGATGAAAGCTGGAGGCATGTAGGTAAGTATAGCGGTCAGTAGGTTTCCAGTACAGAGTGGTGTTTATGTGACCATCGCTTATTTGTACTGTAGTGTCCAGGAAGTGGATCTCTTGTGTGGACTGGGTCACTACAAAACATTTTTCCTCTGTTGATACTCACACCTTGTCAACTGCTGGGAATGGGCCACATCCACCCTAATTGAATTGGCCTCGTTAGCACTGACACCCCCCCTCCCCACACTTGGTAAGGCAACTCCCATCTTTCATGTGCTGTATATGTATACCTGCTTACTGTATTTTCCAGTCCATGCATCTGATGAAGTGGGTTATATCCCACGAAAGCTTATGCCCAAATAAATTTGTTAGTCTCTAAGGTGCCACAAGGGCTCCTCATTGTTTTTAGTGATTATTGAGCAACACAAATACCGCCCCAACCTTTGGCACTAATCGGCTCTCCATTAGCAATTTCAGTAGCAAGATCAAAAAATGAATGAACATGGAAATGGAACTCCCCAGGGCATCAATGAGAGTCAAGCACATTGGTTGGACAATAGCAGGGAGACATGGTCCGTCATTGCTGTCTATTTTTAAAGATCTCCAGAGCTGTCAATATGGCACCTTTCAGAAGCACTAAAATTCACATTAATATTTGGAAAGGGAAGTGTTTAATTTGGGGCTTCAGGCAGGCAATGTTGGTAGATATTGGGAGTTCTAACAGTGTATTGTACTTGAATTCAGTCATGGACAGATCATTGATTGGAAGGGCATGAGAGATCACAGTAGACCTCCTGTGAATTGAGGAATTGCAAAATGGACAAAATGTGATCCAGGAAGCTGGTGCAATGCCACCCAGATGCATAAAACCATTCCCCGACCCCAGCAGAGAATGTTTTCCTCTCCAGTTTTCTTTAGGCCCCATTCCTATACAGTGCTCAAACTTCAGAGCATTGTGCTGCAGGTAGGGTTGAAGGTTAGGGAGAGGAAAGCAAAAATTGTGGATCTTTGTTATTCTTTGCTAATATTTAACTCGGGTTTTGCCACAAAACTCTTGCAATGCAAAAGTTGGGATTTTGGCATGGCTCTTTGGCCTGCTATTTGGGGGGATAAAGTCAGAGTATTTGAAAACACTGTTCAGGAAGACTTATTACTTGAGTCAAATGTGTCAATCCTTTCATCTTGCCATATGGCCTGATACTGCAGTCCTTACTCAAGCAAAACTCCCTTTGACAGTCTTGCTTGAATAAGGACTGTAAGAATGGCTCAGACTGACTGTGTATGATTATCCCATGCAGAAAAACAGATAACAATTCTGAGACTGGAAACCCTCCAGTGAATGCTGCTCTTGGCATAGCTGAGAATGTAGCTTAGAGAGTTTTAGTTGTTCTTGTAGAATAAATATATTTTGGCAAAATTAAAGGTTGTGAAGGAAAATTTATTTAATCCAGTTTAATGGGGAACAATGGCTTATTAATTATCTTGAACACAATAATTACTTCTCATTGTATCTAGACTGTATAATCAAATGTGAAGTACCTACAGTCAGCCTTTGCTATTCTTCTTTAGCAATTTACTTTGATTATAGTTACAATAAAAAAATTGTAAATACCTGCTGGTAAATGAACTAACAAGGCATGCATAATTACAAGATTTAAGATTATTTATTAAATTGGAAGAGTTGTTAGTAGGAAAAGAAACAAAGAATTTTTTGTTTAAATGTTCCTAGTGGTGAAAGAAGGGAAAGATGGAAATATGATTCTGCATACTGAATATACAAAATTGTTTTTGTAACTAGAATAGTTTAAAAATATTCCACTATTGCACTTCAGTCATTTTAAATTTGGCTTTAAATTTTAATTGAATTAAAAATATGAGCAACTGGACTAAAATATACAGCTGGAAGATAATTTCATAGCCTTTGGGCTGGTCTACACGGGGGAGCGTATAGCGTAGCTGAAGTCGAAGTATCTTGGATCGAATTACCTGGGGTCCACACGGCACGGAATCGACGGCCGTGGCTCCCCCGTCAACTGCGCTACCACCGCTCACTGTGGTGGAGTTCCGGAGTCGACGGTGAGCGCGTTCGGGGATCGATTGCTACCCGCTGATACGGCGGGTAGTGAAGACGTACCCTTAGATTGCATGGCCTCAAGATGAGAGAATAACAGTGGCTTAACTAAGGAGTTTAGGTGGGTGAGGTAATATTTTTTATCGAAACAACTTCTGTTGTTGAGAGAGAAGCTTTCAAGCCACACAGAGCTCTGCTTCAGGTTTGCAAATTACACCTACAGTTGCAGTGTACACATAGCTAAAAGTGACCAGATGACCCAAAATATGGGTTTTGTATTTAAAAAGAAATCCCTTTATTTGTTTCCAAACAAACTGTTATTAAGCTATGACAAACGTCCAATAACTACTTCTTTTCTTCCACTACAAATACTGGGCTACATGCTAACAATATGTAGAATTTACTGCATAGGAGTTAGGAAGCACTGCAAGTTTCCACCTGTTGAATTTCCTAACTTTGAGGAGGACAAAATAAATCTCTCTTCTTTCCCCTCAACCCCTAGAGCAGGCAATGAGTTCCACCTCTTAACATACTGATGTCCTGAAATCTGTGTAGTCTAGGGGTGCCCCTGACTGAGGTTAAAGTTAAACACATGTGTAGATCTTTGCAGGATCAGAGCCTTAGATATACGTTGTTTTTTATAGATATTAAGTGATTTAAAGTATCAGGGGTTAGCCGTGTTAGTCTGTATCTACAAAAACAACAAGGAGTCTGGTGGCATCTTAAAGACTAACAGATTTATTTGGGCATAAGCTTTCGTGGGTAAAAACCTCACTTCTTCAGATGCATTTAAGTGATTTAAATGACCAAAGACCACTGTGCATAGGTGGCATGTGAGTTTTTTGTTTCGGGAGGCTACACCCAGGAGCGCCAGAAGCTCCCTAGAAGTGGCGGGGCCACAGGAGCCCAGACAGTTCCCCCTGCTTCCCCGCTCTGGCCCTCTCCCTGAGGCCCCACCCCGCCGCTCGCTTCTCTAAGCCCCCCGCCACCCGTCAATCGCCCTTAAGGCACGAAAAAAGTGGGAAGGCTTGTGTATGTCATTTCATTTTGCTATTATCTTCATTTATCTATATGTCCTCCCCTTTTTTTCCTGCCTTAAGGGCAAACGATGGACTGGAGGGGGCGGAAAGGAGCGAGCAGGAGGCAGGGCCTCAGGAGAAGAGGAGCCAGGGTGGAGTGACATGGAATGGTGGTGGTGCCCCCCCGCCGCCGCCACTTCTGGGAGCTTCCGGTGCTCCTGCTCCCAAGGCACAAAGGCGGCAGGCAGGCACGCCTCCAAAGGGAGGTGACTCACCTCCATCATTTGCCCCCTACATGGCCTGTCTTTTTTATTTTAGGGAGGCTTAGCCTCTCTAAGCCTCTTATACGCGCCACTCATGTCACTATGATATTTGCTCATAATATGAACATTTCTGTTTTTTTTCCAGTTTACAGACCTCTCATCAAATAAGAAACCCAGATGCCTGTATGTATGTCATTTCATTTTTCTATCATTTAAACATGCTTGCATTTTAACATGCTTACATTTCTGCGTATGCTGTATAACCCTGATCCTAAGTCCATTACACTGACTTCCGTGGGCTTTGGAGCAGGTCCTATATTTGATGATATATATGCATTTTGCATAATAAAGGAAAACCAGGTGTTTTGCTAAATTAAAAATAAACATTTTATTCAAGAAAAAATAGAATCCTTTTATGCCAATAAATTACTGCTTCCTGTTTGACCGTATGAGGTTTTCACAAAGTTTGAATCTACCAAATGAACACGTACTAAGTTTCAGATGAAAATGTCTTTAACATTCTGTCATGGACATTCTTGAGTACCATATACGGGAGATTTATACTTGCCATTTATGTCAGATTTTTTTAAAGGGGGCACAACTTAAAAATACCATATTATGAACAAAATTTCCTGACCTATATAGTATGTGACTAAAACAGCTTCAGTTTTTAAAATCAAATTTAAAAATGCAACTTACACCTCTACCCTGATATAACGCTGTCCTCGGGAGCCAAAAAATCTTACCATGTTATAGGTGAAACCACGTTATATCGAACTTGCTTTGATCCACCGGAGCGTGCAGCCCTGCCCCCCCCCCCGGAGTGCTGCTTTACCACGCTATATCCAAATTCGTGTTATATCGGGTCGTGTTATATCAGGGTAGAGGCGTTCTTTTCACTTTGTTTATTTTTTAATTTCTTAGCTTGGACAATGAAAATTATTGGAATCAGTTTCACTTTTGCCGATAGTGTAGGAATTATTAATTAACAGTGCAGGAGTTGGTGATTTTTGTGTTGGTTTTTTAACAATTTATTCCATTTGAAGTTTTTCTAAAAAATCATGAAACATTTCTCTACTGGTTTTAGATTAGTAAAAACAAACTTTTTTCCAAAAACCTCTATTTGAGCTGACAGTGTCTCTAAATTTCAGACCCCTATCACTGTTTATATCATTGGAAGAAGTGGGAGAATGCATGAAATGAAACATGATGTGACACATTCACCTAAGTGGTTATAACTCCACTGGAGTCAATGCAGTTGCACCCACTTATGTCAGCATTGTAGAAATAAGACATATCAGGCCCAGTTCAATAAAACTTATGTATTGAAATCAGATGTGGGTAAGTGACATGGACATGGATAATTGACGGGATTGGTAACAGCATATACAAGCCACTGGTTTAAAGCAGCACAGTTTAGCAGAATCCAGTAGTTGCCACCATCTGCTGGGATTTCAGTGGCCTATATGAAATAACTTGCAGGTATTCATCCAGCCACTGATAAGCAGTTGTCCTTATGAAAAACACCATTAGAACGCGCACTGATTAGCACCCCAGCAATCTCAGCAGATACACCAAGGACTGAATCAGCAGATGGACTGAAATTACCTGCTATTTTATAGAGATGGTTACCACAAACAGAGCTGAGGCAGTATGGGGAAGCTCCTATTGCTGCTATGCCTGTTCTGCGGATGAAGAGATAACTTCAGTTTCCATAACTGTCAAGCCAGCTGTTTTTGAGATCACATTACAAATTAAGTTAAAGGTAAAAGAGTTAAGCAAGCATTATATGCATCAGCTGATTTGACATACTGTATCTCTATAGTTTACTCTCCATAAAACAAATATGTTGGCAATTCGATGAAGTTTCAACTACAAAAGAATTTTCCTACAATATTTTTATTTTTAAAAAGTAGCATTGTGGGTCACTGGTTGTTCAAGCAAGAGAACCAGGTTCGAGTCCCACCAACACTCTGGGAGGAGAATCCTCATTTGGTGTAAGCAGCAATAGCCCCACTGGGCCTATAACATTTTACCTCAGTGTCCTACCACCTTATGTCAGCATGTGCTACTAACTAGAGGTGAAACCGAGGATAGGACCGTTGTCAGAACCAACTGTCAAAAGATGTCAAATGCATCTTTGCTGTAATAACTCAGTAACTCTCACTGTACACTATCTCCGCATCTAGCAACACAGACTAGTTCATAACTGGTTGGTGTGATCTTTTACCATTATGATCTGTTTTAATAAGATAAAAAGTATTTTTAAATACATTGAAGTTTTTTTAAGTTAATTTGCCTTCCATATGCACTGAAGTCTATAACCGTGAGGACTGTAAATCATTTGTGTCTGTAACCGTGTAGCACCCACCTCTCATGAGTCCCCCTTCTGGTCCGATGTGTCTTCGGTCGTTAGCCAGTCCTGGCCCTGGTATTGAGGCGTGCTTTCTCCAGTAAATGGTTTATTAAAGGTACAAAGACATTTGCTAATGCTTAATAACAACCCAGTTGAGTTTCGGTGTGGTGCTTTCTAACAGGCAGATTGGCATTTTCCTCATTCCAACCCCCTCTTTTCTGTTGTTATAAACTGTAAATTAGAGACATAGGTCCGATCTGTGTCACACTGCCATTTAATTTCTATGAGGTTTGGACACCTAACTCCCTTTAAAAATATCACTCTTGATATATTTTGTTTTGAATAACATTACTGAGTACAGTAATAATGTGACTGAAATCATACTTTGGGATAGGTCTATAATTTGCCTCTGCCTTGAGAACAAATGAGTCAGCTTCACGATGTTATATTTGACAAATACAAACCGCCATATCTTTCAACATCAACCAATTAATTGGTCCAACATACAGTTCCATGAATGCAATGTCTTAAAGCAACAGTCACAGTGACATCTGTAACAATTTTCTGTTCCTATGGACAAGATTTCACACTGGGCTACATTTGAAGGAAAAGAAGATTATTTATAGAAAATTTATCTTGCCAGTAGTTTTCTGTACTCTTCCTGCTATTACTGAATCATTTAAGTTGGACCTAATCCTCCAGTCATTCGCTGAGCAGAACTCTCACATTGAACAAAGTATTAGGCCATGCTACAGTGTCAAAATGTTTATGGCTAGTGTTCTAAAATTGAAGTTCAAACATAAAAAATATAGCCTGCAACATGGAACTCTGATTAATTGGCAATGCTGCTTGGAATTCTATGAATATGGGGTTTGAATTGCATGCATTTGACCAGTTGCACCTTTTTCTAGAAAGGTCTATCAAATGTGCAGTACAGTTTAATGTTCTGTACAATTAATACTGTGAGGTTTGCAGAAAGAATAAGATTTGGAAAATGGTAGCCCTTACACAGATTGATTTATGTCAAACCAGCTGTTCTTTGCTTCATTTGCAGTATTTGGGTAGACATGTGTTGGTGCCTTACATTGAGTAATACTGTTTTTATAGTATGCATATCTACTGTAAATGTTTCAATATGCTGTAAAAATGGAATTGTCATGGTTTTATTTAATAAAAACACGACAATATTTTTAAATGTTGGGTTCAAGTTAGAATTTCAGAATAGAGCACCTGGTTTTGCTCTCACTTACAATGGTGTCGATCTGAAGTAGCTCTGTTCAAGTCAATTTACTTCAATAAAGTCACACTAGGCATGAACTAGGACAAACAAAAGAAGGGGGAGGAGGTTGGCTTGTTTATAGGCTTACATTCTTTTTCTTTTCCCCACACCAATTACTTATTACTATTGATCCACACACCCCCCAAAAATTCAGAATTAAGGTTAACTCAACAAGCATGATTTAAAAACTAAAAAACTTCCTCAATTGGTCAGCCAGCCAGAGGCTTCAGACTTGAATTTGCAATACTGACTGTCGGCTGGCTTACAAATAAAAGGCAGACAACCCCCAGGGGGATCTGCCAGCACCACAGCAACCAAAGATCCAGCTGAGTGCCCACCACTGAGACGTCACCAGAGTCCCACTCCCCTCTCTCCACTGCAGTATAGGTCAATATTATTATTTAAAAATCAGGGTGAAATTCATCCTTCGCAGAGGGAAGTCCTGTGCACCACTTAAGTCCCTTAAATCCCTTTAAGATATCAAATTAGGACACGTATGCCTTGTGCTGGCCCGCAGCACATGGACAAATTTCACTCTAAATGAACATGCACTGAAAGTGCATCCGATGATGAACATAGCGAACTAGTAAGAAATGTGAATGTCTATATTTCCTTGGAGTAAAGGGAAACTACTATATGTTAGTCTCAACTCTTACATAACACTCTCCAAAGCAAAAGAACAATTTACAGTTGTCATTCTAAAAATGCTATTTTTACTATGCAATGCCCCGGTAGCTGCAAGTGCTCAGCACCTTTAAAAATCAGACCATTTGCCACCTTTGCAAAATCTGACTGACTTTTTTTTTTATTTCAGAAGCCGAGGAAATCAGCATGGTTCATATAATATACCTGATGCAAAACCTCATTCCCTTCAAAAAGGTAGACTGTTCCTAAAGAAAACCAAGGATGAGAAGAACAGCATCCAGCCAGTTATATTCTTCTATGAGCCTGTCGACTGCTCAAGAGAGCTATGGAGGCCACAGAAAAAAGGTGAACCTGTGAGTGCTGCCCGAAAGGTGAATTCAAAATCCAAGCAGGGTAAAAAAGACAAATAGCTACAGTAACAGATTATATTATATAACAACATGCAGGAGCTACTGGCACAAGGCTTCAACAAAACAGATATTGAATCATGTCTGTTAGCTAAGCATTGTACTTTTTCTTATTCATTTGTTCATGCCATAAAATATTAAATATAAATATATATATAATATATACAGTATGAAAGAATATTTATATTATTTAGTAATTTTGTTTCCATTGGAGGGTCTATAAGTGAAGTAACATTTATTTATGTCAGTTTGCATTTGATTTTTCTATTTATGTAATGCTAGAGCCTATTGAAAATGATCCCAGTATCTTGCTGTATGCTATTGTGGCCATATGTTTTATAACCAGATATTTTAGTGGCAGTATGTGGTTTACTAATCTAATTTTCATCCATGTCATTGCATTAGTTCAGAAGAATCCATTTAATTGGCATCCTGATACTCAGTCTTTGCACTTAATTGGTGTGATTGCCAGGAAATATGTTCAATGACAAATCACTACATATACCAGCACACTTAGTTGTGAGAAGTGCATTTTAGTGTAATCCTACAGTGCTGTCTTCAAAGCTGTTCATAGCAGCAGATTGGTATTTGCAATCCTGAATTTTCTCTGTACAGCCCTGCATGTTCATTTCATGCTCCTTCCATGCTTTACTATAGCTCCTATTGGGATCCAAGAAGTGGGCAGGCTTTGCCCACCCACTGCTAAAGGATCTCCCCCCACCCAGCCTAAGGGGGGTCCACAGGACCTGGAGACCAAAAAATTACAGGGGACAACTAATAAAAGAACAGGGACAGGAGTGAGGTCAAAGGGTGCTTTACTATAGCTGCTAAACAAATTGATTTTACTCAGGGCCAAATTCCAAGCTTGTGTAAATTACACAGATCAATTAACTTCAGTGCTTGCTTTGAAAATGCTGCATGCTTTGTATTTTCAGTACCGTTTCAACTTCTGCCATTGTTGATCAGCAGGAATTGAACTGAGGCCTACAATCAGAAGCTACTTTGTCCATGTCTACACTGCAGTTAGACATCTGCAGCTGGTCCATGTCAGCTGATGCGGGCTCACGCCAGGGCTCAGGCTGAGGGGTTGTTCAATTGCAGTGTAAATGTTTGGACTCAGACTACAGCCCGAGTTCTGGTACCCTCCCACTTTGTAGGGTCTTAGAGCTCAGACTTCAGCCCAAGCCTAAACGTCTACACTGCAATTAAACAGCTTCCCAGACCGAGTCAGCTGGCACAGGCCAGCCTCAGGTGTCTAACTGCAGAGTAGACATACCCTTTGAGCTAACGGAATAACTCCATTACCAAGTAGCAGTAGTAGTTTCTTTCCCTCTGTGGATCAGCAGCTAGAGGGAAAGATAAGTTACGCTATGTGCCAGCATGTTCCACTGTAATATGTGTTTTTAGGCAATTAATGAATATTTACCAGCACAGTGTACTACATGATCCTCTTAATTGGGATGATAATTGAGGACCCAATCTTGCTAATTTTTATCTGTATGAATACTCCTTTCACACACTAATACTCCCATGGATTTCAAATAAATACATACGAGTACGGATGTTAGAAAGGATTGCAGGATTGGAACCTTAACTGGAATGTCTCTACTTCCACTGGTTTGTGCCAATTAAAAGGATTCTACTTGATCATAATGTTCTTCAGAATTCATTTTGTGTGTATATTTTTGGTAGCATTAATCCTTATGCCAAGTTTATAAATATTAGCATCCTGTTGAGATTACTGGCAAGAACTGTTTTCTTGAGAAGAGAATAAATAGCCGAGTCAAGTCTCTGTTTACTTTATTTTTTAAATGCTCTTAACAGACGTAAATTGTCTTTGTGGAAGCTGGTTTTTAAAGTACATATATAAAGATGTGCAGAAAATGTTACTTGTTTTTTATAATTATGACTGTAAGCATAACTGAGTGAGAAGAAGCAGAAGAAAACATATCACCATGACTATTGCTGCAATAAACTCTAGATTTGCAATATATTTGATGTAGACGATAACTAATATGCTAAAATGCAGGAAACAACAAATGTCACATTTTTCATTGTATATAATTCCCAGAGTGTATCATAGTGAAGAATGAAACGATTGAGTTCTCACTTTTATTTAAGATAATGTATATGGAACTATCACGTGTGTTTAAACTTTCATAACACTGTTTCAACTGAAAGTCACAGTGTAAAAAAAATCAGGTATTTAAATTGTTGACATTTTAATATATGTTTAGATATCTCATTGTCAAATTTAACGTTATGTCATGTTAGATGTCATGTGCTGGTAAAAAAAATGATTTGTTAATTGTATTGCATGCTGTTTTTTGTCTGATGAGAACCATCTTTTGCAATCCATGCAGCCAAAAATTCTTTAAACTTTTCTACTGCTTCCCACATTATCAGCTTTCTTAGAAAAAAATTGCCGATCTTTTACTGCAGATAATAAAAGGGGATGTTTAGAAAGAATTTAAGTAAAACCCATTAGCCCACTCTTTATTAGTCAAAAGTAAAAGTAGTCTTTTTATTTTTCAGTACCTTGTCTACTTTTTTTGGATGATAAGTCACCAAAGTTAAGCACAACTATTCATATTTCATGCATGAGAGGCTTATTTTATTATTTATCATCACTTGAAATCTTTACTATAAGTTGTCCTTTAAAAAAAAGTTGCATGTTCTTTAACTTCCTAAATCCTAAATTGTTAAAGACACCATTTGCTGAATCAGTGCCAAACTAGTCAGTTGCAAAGAAGTTGAAATATACTGTAACCCCCAGAAAAAGAATGTAGAATATAAAAATTCTAAAATAAAGCTATATTTCTCAGGTATTGTGTTTATGAACTATGTAATAGTACAATGCATGTTTTTTGCAATGATGGCAGGCAGGGGCATGAATACAAAAGAAAAATATCCCCCCTGATGGCACTGTTCATTAGTTAGTTGCTTGTTACATAAATGAGACAAGATGGATAAGGTCATATCTTTTATTGGACCAACTCTGTAGGTGAGAGAGACAAGTTTTTGAGAAGAACTCTGAAGAAGAGCTCTGTGGAGCTCAAAAGCTTGACTCTTTCAGGCACAGAAGTTAGTCCAATAAAAGCTATTGCCTCATTTGCCTTGTCTCTCTCATATCCTGGGACCACCACAGCTACACCACCGCATTACATTAAGTGGCAGTTTACATAAGTGTAAGTTAATTGGGCCCCAATCCTGCAAAGATGTACAAATGAATTTGAAACAAACGACATGAAAATAAAATGCCTTTTTCTGAAAAGATTTAATTTCTTTTTGAGGAAGAAAACTTCTATAGAAACAAAAGCTGCGGGAAGAAGTGGTATTAAGACATTGTAAAAGGAGATGAAAAACCTCTAAAGGATATCTTCAAGTCTGAATATTATTAATTCGTTACTCTGTAGGCCAAAATGGCTCCTGCATGGAAATACCTTGCAATTCTGTAGACATGTTTTTAAGTGAATGTCTGATCTTCAGCTGAACATAATTGCTTCACCAACGCTACAAAGTATCTATCATGTCCATTATTTTATGGCAGAGATAATAATAATGATAGGTACATTTTAAAAATAGGGGGAGGATCTATATATGCAGTACATTTAATGTAACCTTTTTTTGTTTAGGTGGGGGGGTTTTGCCTATTCTACAATTTTGGAATGTAAAAATATTCATTTAAAATTAAAAAGCTTTTTCTTTTTAAAATTAAAATAGAAATACAAATATCTGAAGCCAAGAACTATTAGGCTAGTATCTTCAAATGCGCCTAAGCAAGTTAGGCAGCTGAATCCAATGGAAAGTGAATAAGAGTTGGGTGCCTAGTTCCTTTTAGATCCTTTTGAAAATTGCTGCTTCAAGTCCTACATCTTCTATCACTTTAAAATGATTCAATGGATGTTGAAATCTCAAAACAGCGTGCACTCATTTAGACCTTATGGGTCAGCTTTTATCTTAAAACAAAATGTTCTAACAGCCTTGTAACATTTCAGTGCAGGAAAATAGGAGACTCTAATGGAAATCCTGACAGACCCTTAATTATAGTAGTACAGAGAAGCACCACTACCATTTTGATGTACTCCTGTCAGTTGAAGAAATAGCCTGTTTTAAAGCACTTGAAGGCATTTGACCCCTCCGTATCTCAACAATACAGGGAATTTCAGGCTATTTGAGGCACTCTAAATACATGTCTTTTGTTTCCAGAAGAGTTACTGGAAATATTCAAATATTCATATTCAAGGGAATAGGCATCAATAATAACATCAACTATGTCTACCAAATTACCACTTCTGCTGTCCCTAATAATGCACTACAATGATAGTCAACTCCTTGAGTCTACTTGAGCGAAATCCTGTCCCTTTATTCTGCATCACCAAATGGTTGCTGCTATTTCTTCTTGCATCATCCTAATGTTGATTATTTCCAGAGATCCTGTCTGAAGTGGTTGGAGTAGACTATTTTAGTGTTTTGTGTACAAGCAGTAGTTCTTTTTATTCCAGAAGTGATTTTACTGGATGAAACATTCAATAGACTCTTATAAATAGAACCTGGTGTTGTGAACAAAATGTCCATTCTCATTTCATTGCTAATGCCACATTCTATTTAGCTTCAATGTTTTGCAATCTGGTTCTTCCCTCTGGGATGGGAGATATAAACAAACAATTATCTTTAAATGCATTTGGTGGTTTGGCAAACTCATTTTATCTTTCTTGATGTTATCTACATGAAGCAGGCATAGTTTCAACATTGGCTTAAATGATGTATAAAATAATTAGTAAAAACATATACTTTATATTGTTTCAATAAAACTAGAATGTAAAGGTAGAAAGGGCTGTACAGAATTGACAAATGGCAATCAATACTCAACTTGTGTGAGGAGTAACTTTCAAAAAGCGAATATAACAGGCCCTCAAACAAATTCCAGACTATCATGGAAATTTTGTTGATGAATTAAGTTCTCATTTTAAGCAGCAATGGCAGAAGGAACTTCAGGTGTTTATTTCTTATGCATATTCCCAAAAGCAGTGCATTACAATTTCACTGCATGCTATGTGTTTCTTAGCCCTCTCTGATGCTACTTGTTGCCTAGGTCCCAAAATATAACTCTAAATGGTAGTCAACCTGTCATGCTAATACCTTAAATCACTGTTTGAAAAGACAGAAAGGAGGCTAAGAATTAATTTCACAAAAGTAGATTTTAGGTCCAAATTTTTAAAGAAGTCCTCTGAGTCTAATGGGCAATTGTGTTTTTAGGACATTGCCATAGTCTTCAATGGGCTTTGGGTCAGGCCAATAAATAGCTTTTAAAATTGTATGTTCTGGATTTGCTCTGTTATAGCTTTTCACGCAAAGCAGAACTGTTCTGAGTGGCATGTAGCCTGGCTAATCTGTGGTACCTCCACTCATTTACAGTCAAGTTTTTCCTCACTTTGAGGATTTTTCATGTTGCTTTGCAGACAACACTTCTGCTTCATAATTTCAGAGCAATATCCTAAAGGAATAAATGCAAGGTCTTCTCTGCCTCAGGCTACAAGCTGTGAACTGGAGCTATGTCCATCCTGGCTAGTCAAGGCAAAGAGAGCGACATGATGTCTGTTTTGGAGGAGACTGTCAATGCTTCCAATGTTGTATGCAGTGTTATTGTAGCCATGTTAGTCCAGGATATTAGAGAGACAAAGTCAGGGAGGTAATAACTTTTATTAGTCCAACTTCTGTTGGTGAGAGAGACATGCTTTCAAGCTACACAGAGCTCTTCTTCAGGTTCTGGGGAAAGTATTCAGAGGGTCACAATTACATACAAGATGGAACAGATTGTTTAGAATAGATACCACATATTTTAAGGGACCATTCAAAGTGGATTGGTCTGTTAACACCTCTGCAGACACAGGAAAAAAAGGGAGAGAGAAGGGACAATGTGATGCTCAGAGTACCTTTCCCAGACCTGATGAAGAGCTCTGTATAGCTTGAAAGCTTGTCTCTCACCACCAGAAATTAGTCCAATAAAAGATGTTACCTCACCCACCTTGTCTCTCTAATGCTTCCAACAACAGCTAAATAAATAAATGACTACATACTGTTTTAGGGCCAAATCCTGCCCTCAGATATACAAGTGCAATTCATATTGACTTCAGTGGGCACTGCACATGGGTACATGAAACCGAATTTATCCCTTTGAGTCTGCACTTTCAGGAGAGATATCTCCCAGATGACACCAATTTATTTATGTAAATTTATCAAGCATTTGTGCAAACTTGCAAGCAATACTACATATTTTATAAAACTTATACAAATAAACCAATGGATTCATTTCCTTAAAATGCCCCCAGCCCCAAAAGTTCTCTTCCTCTCATATGTACAAATCCTTTCCCTCTTACTGCAAACAAATTTCTTCTTCCTCAGCCTGCTAATGCCATATACTACATTATTCAGATAAAGTTACAAATAGTCTTTCTTAACTGACCGCCAACAATTTGAGAGACTTTTGCCTAAACACAGCTACTCTGAAAACTTCCCCATCACCTTCTAATTTAAGATACACAAAGTAAATAGAATTCTACATATTACATTGGAAATATAAAATATAGGTATTTCACTATCTTTTATGGGCTTCCAACAATCATAACATACGGCTTATCAAAATAACAGCCTCAGCAGTATTTAAAGAGGAGAAATACAATACGATTGAATTCATATGAAATGCTTTCCTGGAGGAGTTACCATTAATAAATAACTTGGAAATTCTGAAAATTAAAAAAAAAGCAAGTCTGTAGTACAACCGTATATTGTATAACATTACAGGTGAGTGCAGTAATTTAAAAACAGAAACATGAAGACAAGCCTTCAAAATCATGGTAAACACTATTTGTGTACTTGATCCAAAACCCAGTGAAATCTTTGAGAGCCTTGCCTTTGACTTCAATGGGCCTTGGATCAGGCCAGGAATGAATGAATACGTCTAGTCAGTAGGGACTGTGGATAACCCACACGTGTAGCTTATCCAACTAAATAGCTAAAAAGCTTCTATAACAGTCAAAAGATTGATTTTCCCTCCTCTATACATATAGTTATTATGTGTGGGTCCTTAAGACAGTCTTGAGAGTTTCATATCAAGAAGATATGTGAGGCTATTTCAATTCAGGTTTAGTTTGTACATGATCCACATATACTTGTGGATTAATATTCTTAGAAATCGGATTACAACATTAAGGCCTTGATTCTACAGACACTTATGCATGAGATCCCATGAGATTGCTCACATGATTAAAGCTAAGTGTATATATAAGTGAAGGTGCAGAATCGGGGCCTTACTCTAAGAAATAAATTGCTACAAACATATACAAGATATAAATATATATAAAAATATAAATTTTATATCATTAGGAGAAAAAGAAATGGTCACTCTTGCCGCTGTTGTCCTTCAAGATATATTGTATATGTCCATTACACTAGGTGTGTGTGTGTGTCGTCCACCAGTGCTGGAGAGTTTTCCCTAGTGGTACCTTGCCCTGAGTGATTAGGGAAGGAGTGTGGGTCACATAATGGATATATGCAACTAGGGTGACCAGATGTCCCCATTTTATAGGGACAGTCCCGATTTTTGGGTCTTTTTCTTATATAGGCTCCTATTACCCCCCTGTCCCGATTTTTCACATTTGCTGTCTGGTCACCCTATATGCAACATATCTTGAAGTACAACAGTTACAAGAGGTAAATGTTTCTTCTTCGAGTGCTTGAATATGTCCACTACACTATGTAATTCCCAAGCAGTTTCCAATGGAGGTGGGGAGTCTCATTGGAAGAGGGGCTACAGGACTGCCTTCCCCATACTCAGATCATTCCCTAGCTGCGGTAGAAATTGCATAATGTCTAGCAAAGGTTTAAGCTGAAGACCACGTTGCTGCTCTGCAGATGTCCACGATAGGGACATTTTCCATCATTGTCCTGGAGGCTGAGCATGCTCTGACTGAATGTGCAGGCAGCTTTTCAGGAGGCATGATGCCTTTGGTCTTGTAGCACATGACAATACAGCTGGTGATTCACTTGGACAGTTGTTGCCCAGTTACAGGATGCCCTCTCATTCATTCTGCAGAGGAGATGAACAGCTGTGAAGAGACCAGAAAGGTCTCTGATTTATCCAGATAAAAGGCCAGTTCTTGGTGAATATCCAAAGTGTGGAGCTTTTGTTCATCTTCAGGAGCATGTGGCTTTGGCCAGAAGGCTGATAAATATATTGATTTGTTGAGGTGGAAATCAGACACTACCTTGGAGAGAACCTTGGGTGTGGGCTTTCCTGTACCTTGCCTTGTAAAAAACACAATGGATGGAGGATCTGTTTACAGGGCACATAACTCTCTTACTTTCCTCACTGAGGTGTTGGCTGTTAGAAAGGGCACCTTTGCTGAGCGGTACAATAATGAACAGGAGGCTTTCACTTTGAAAGGGGGACACTTAAGGACTGGTAACACTGAGGCTTGTTCTACACTAACAACTTATGTCGGTATAGCTATGTTATTGAAGGGTGTGGAAAATCCACACTCCCGAGCAACATAGTTATGCTTGCCTGACTCCTAGGGTAGACAGCCCCATGTTGATAGCAGGGTTTCTCCCATTGATGTAGCATCTCCTCTCAGGGAGGTGGAGTACCTGTACTGAAGGGACAAGCCCTCCCATTGGCATAGGTAGCCTCTACACTGAAGAACTACAGTGGTGCCGCTGCAGCATTTTAAGTGTAAACAAGCCCTAAATTTAAATTCTACTGTGGAGTAGGGTCTCTGATAGAAAGATTGTTCCCACCTAAGCCTTTTAGGAACCTAGTAGTCACAGGATTAGAGAATACAGCCCCACCTGTAATATGGGGGTAAAATGCTCAGATTGTAGCCAGGTGCACTTTAATGGAGCTGACTGCCAAAAAACCTGACTCAGTAGTCCAAATAGTCCAAAATCTTTTGAATCATGGATTGTGTAGGAGACACACTGTGGCTAGCCATCCAGACAGAGAAACACTTCCACTTACAAAGGAAAGCAGCAATGGGTGGCCTGCATGAAGATGTACCTGAGATACTCCTTAATTTGCGTCTTAGTTCTCATCTTGAAGCCCCAGCAAATCAGACTGCCTGTCCCTGACGTGACCCTCACCCAAGCC